GAATAGGAAAGCAATAATTTCCAGAAAGTAGGCTGGCTGTCTTATATCCTAAGGAACATGGTCACAAAATAAAAAAGTATCCATGGAGAAAACAAAGTAAGCTTTTTTAAAAACAGCCAGTTCAGCATAGAAAATGCTTCTGAAAAGTGAGGAACAAATATAATCTTCCTACTACTAAATTCACTTTGCTATTGTCATCATTTGCCAGTTTCTCCTTATCTTTTCCAAACTCCATGGATTTCCTTCAGAAAGTCACTAGATATCACAAAAAGGCATTTTCTTACAATAAATACACTTAAATTTAACTGCAGATAATTGTGAAAGCAGAAACACGTTGTGTTTATACAACACAAGCAAGAAAAGCAGCGCCATGAAATGAAGACTGAAGCTAATAGACTCAAGCATTGACATCATCCACGCAGCACAAATCATTTAACCTCTTTGGGCCCCAGTTTTCTCTTCTGCAAAAAGGAATTAATGTTTGTTTGCCTCAAAGATTGTTGTAAAGATCAAATTAAATTATCTCTGTGGTTCATTGTGTGTTGTAAACCATGATGTAGTAGGGAAATATCAAATTTTAAATGGGATCTTATTTAAAGCAATGGTATTAAGCTTTTTCTGCCAAAGGCATGGAGCCTAACATCTGTTATTTCTTTCTTAAAAGCAGAGGTTAGCAAATGCTGGGGAGCTATTAAAGGTAAAACAGCACTGAAAATGAGAATTGCCTCTTCAAGCCGTCAGAAGTATGGAAAAATAATTTAACCAGGAATGAGAGTTATTTGATGTTTAATACCACCACCCATCTGTCAGTTTATCATACACTGGTGACTTGTGTGTCACTATGATGTTGGGAGCTATGTCACACCCCTAGTAGACAGAGCTTCCAGGCTATGATGGACTGCAAAGAAAGGCCTAGTAATCTACTTCTAAAAATGAGCCCATGAAACCCCAGTGGAACACAATGGACTACTGTCCGATAGAGTGCTGGAAGATGAGCTCCTTAGGTTGGGAGGTTCTCAAAATGCACAGTGGCCATAACAATGGACTTGAGCAAATGAAGGATCATGGAGATGGCACAAGACATGCAATGTTCTCTCTTTTACATACAGTTAACATGGATCAGTGCTGGCTCCACTGCAGAAATAACAACAACATTAAATGGGTGTCATTCAAGGCCTTGGATCAACCAAATCACCTTTGTTCCACATAAAATCACCTCTGTTCCTTCAGAGAGGGGCATCTCACACACTGGAAAACACTAAGCTAGAGAATCCTACTACTTCTAGCATCTCTTGCTCAATAATTTATCCAAAGTCATAACTTAAATCTGTTGCATAATTGGGTTAAAAAGTGTAGGATTCTTAGTACCTTTCAGGTCTCCTAACCACTGAAGCCCTCAGCCAGCTAAACTACACATTATTCCTTAATTTTTACAAAGATGACAGAAAGGATACCATTGACAGATAGATCCCTCAAACGACTAATGACCTCATGGAATTGGAGTTTCATTACAGATGGTTGGCAGTGGAAAACAAATTTTGAGTTGTTGTGAAAATTACACACCTGCAGACAAATTATTAGATCTGTCAAGTGGCTAATCAGGAGAGTTCTCTCTGTCATTAATTATGTACAACATTTATGTTTGTTTGATACTGCAGAACTGTCTAGACCCACCCAGGTGGGTTACCTGTCACATAGAAACAGCCCAGGTGTGAGTGCTTGTGTCTTGATTCTTCAGGAAAATTGGCAACCAAATGCAGGAGTCTTATTACACTCCTGCTTAAACCTTTAATGGCCTCTCATTTGGGGGGAAGCCCAAAATCTCTATCATAAACACCAAAGTCTGATGTGACCTTGTCCCTGTTCACCCACTCCAAGGCCCCATTTTGTTTCACTTTCGTTTGCAATCTGGGGTCCAACCATATTGACTGTGTTATATCCTAAGCCATTATATCAAATTACCACAAAATACAAGAATTAAACAAATTTATTCTCTCACAGTTCTGAAGACTGGAAGTCCAAAATCAAGGTGTCAGTAAGTTCATACTCTCTCTGAAGGCTCTAGGCAAGAATCTTTCCTTGCCTCGTTCTGGCTTCTAGTGGTCGCTGGCAATCCCTGGTGCTGCTTTTCTTGGGGTAACGTGACTCCGATCTCTGCCTCCATCTTCACATGGCCTTCTTCCCACTGTGTGTTTGTGTCCAAATTTCCTTCTTCTTCTAAGGACACTAATCACTAGCTCACCCTTATCCAATACTAACTCAGCTCTGATAGCATAGTGCCTAAGGCACTTGACTGCTAACCAGAAGGCTGGTGGTTCAAACCCACCAGCAACTCCTCAGAAGGAAGGTTGGGCAATCTACTTCCATAGTGATCCTGCCTCGGAAACCCAAAGAGGGGTTGCTATGAGTTGGGTCCGACTTGTTGGTACATAACAACAACAAACTTGATTATATCTGCAGAGACCCCATTTCCAAATATGATCACATTCACAGGTTCCAGTTGGACATGAATTTTGGAGGGACACTACTTAACCCGGTGCACTGACCTTCTTGGACTTTCTCCAGAGTAGGGCTGTTCACGTTGTTCTGTCTGCTTAGACTGCCCTTGGCTCAGCCCCACCAGCTCCTGATGCTGGGCATACTCATTCATTCAAGTCTCAGACAAAACATTACTTCTTCAAATCAGTCTTCCATGAACCCTCTAGATTAGGTTACATCCATTTGTCACAAGCCTCTCTACTTCCTTACTGCTGTCATCATAATTGAATTGCTGGTTAATGTCTTTCTATTCTACTGGAGTGTAAACTCAGTGAAGACTAGAAGTATGTATATCTCCTCTGTCTTTTTATCCCTGGCAGTTACTAATTAGACATTCAGTATGCATTTTCTAAATGAATGAATCAATCACTGAGTGAGCCAATAAATGGTTTCAGTTTAATCCTCTGCTAGGGCCACAGAGTCCATCAAAATAACTTAGATAATGTTGAGAGGATCTGAGATTTTTTTTTTTTTTTTTTCAAGTTTATCTCTACCATTCTCTTTCTCTAAATATGTGTATCCATGACACAGATCATCTTGGAGAAGAAAAGGGGAAACCTAGTCCTATATCCAACTGAGTGACCTTCCAGGATCCTTGGTAGGATCCTGTCACAAGGAAGACATCCCTCCTCAAAGTAGGGTTACTATTACACCCAATTTAGTGGGTTCAAGTGAATCTTCACATTACTCTGGAGTACAGTAAGCCACTGATAAAAAAAAAAGACATTCTCGAGCCTGCCTTCTTGCTTTCTTCTCAGCAACAAATTTGCCTTGCTTTCATTTCAAAGAACATGTCATAACTTCCTGCTCAAGCATCCACAGCAACGAAAGCAGTGGTAGCATCTGCTTGAGAGGAAAGGAAAGGGCATGGAGTGAGAGGAGCTATGTTCTGGTTCTGGCTCCGCCACTTGTTTGCTGCATGTCCTTAAGCCAGTCCTCTAGATCTTTGTGGCCAAAAAGTCCTGCCTATGAAATTGGACAGACGTCTTACCCAGAAGGTTTCTGTAAGCACCAAATGAGATCGTAATTATATTTTACTATTTTACCTAAGGATTTACTAGTACTTCAATTATGAAAGCAATTTGTAAATTATAAAATGCTAGGCAAATTATGATAATATTGCCCCTGGCCCTTGAAAACAATTTTACCTTCTCAATTTTGATAAGTACCTATTAATAAAGTGAGTTTTCATTCCTATCATTTGATGGCAGGTAGAGACAGAACCACAAAGCTGGTAGAAGAGGAGTAAACAATGAGCAGTGACTGAGCTAAATTCAAGAGATAATTGAGCATCGACTGGATAGGACATATCTCCCTTGTTCTCACTCATTCCTCTGTAGCATAAAAACTATTTTTTAAATAAAGGAACCAATATGTTATCTCCTTATGGGTCACATTTTGTTTGCTGTAACACAGCAAAAACTTCACATAAGTGAAGATGACCTGAATCATAGACCAGGTCACCTACATGGAACGGTTTTAGAGGAGGCATAACTCCTATTTATGCTCATTGATGCTTGATAAAACCTTTCTTCCACAATTAGAGATGAAGTTGAAATCTAAATCTCTTTCAAATAAGTATTATAACAATTTTTTAATAAGATGTGAACAATTGATAAGAGGCATGATTTTGATAACAGAACTTGGGAAAAAGATATTAAATATATATATATATAAAGAAAAAAGATGAATAAGAACTAAACCAAACCCCCTTATTAGGTTCTGCAACATTAAAATGGATTTATTTCAAATTTTAATATTTATTTAAATGATCACAGTCAAAATAACTATTGTGAGAAAAATACAGGAAGAAGTAACCGCTAAAGTGAATCTTCATAGTACTTTTTTTAAAAAAATCATTTTATTGAAATATAAATTATGTACAGTGAAATACACAAAACTAAAGTGACATGGGTCAATGCGTTTTTTTTGTTTTTTTGTTTTTTGCAGTGCTCCCTCCCCTCCCCTCCCCCCTTCTGGTAACCAACAAAGAAAGTTTCTTTCCATATGTAAACCTTCCCTTGACTTTTTACCATAATGAACTAATACTATATTTGTCATTCTGTGACTGACTTATTTTACTTCACATTACATCCTCCAAGTTCATCCACGTTATGCAGTGTTTTACAGAAAGTGGTGTATTAAAGTCTCCTATTATGACTTATGACTGTGGGGGAGCTCTGGTAGCATAGTGCCTAAGGCACTTGACTGCTAACCAGAAGGCTGGCGGTTCAAACCCACCAGCCACTCCTCGAAAGGAAGGTTGGGCAATCTACTTCCGTAGTGATACTGCCTCGGAAACCCAAGGAGGGGTCGCTATGAGTCGGGGCCGACTCGACGGCAAATAACAAGAACAACAACAACAACAACAATTATGACTGTGGAGTCACCTTCATAATACTTTATTATGTTCTATAATAGTTCTGGGTTGACTTGGTTTTGATCTTGTTTTTAATTTGCAGACTTATAAATGAATCTTTGAGGGACCAGCTATTGGTGACCATTCAGAAGACTTTCACGTACACTCGAACCCAAGCTCAGCACCTGTTCATCATCCTCATGGAGTGCATGAAGAAGAAGGAACTGGTATGTCAACAGTGCCCCCATGGGTAGCAGGATGCCCTGCACATTTCCCTCTATCTACTTAACCACTTTCTTGAATCACATACCAATTTTTTTTTCTTTTTGGGAAAGCTTACAACCTACCTTAGGGTCCACTGGCTCCACAGTTTCCACCCCCAAATAGCAGACACTTGTTCTTTGGCCCTGGATGTAATCAAGTGTCTACAGTAGGGTTTTAGCATCATTTCCTTTTGGAACTATCCGAATGCTCTACTCACCTCACCCAAATGAGTTGACAAGACAAAATAGGTTTCCTCCTGGAAAATACTTGTGGATCCACTTTTAGATTTAGGGCTTCCCTCTGCTTGTGAATAGTGGATCACTGATGGGCTTTGTGTCAAATATCTGGTGATGCAGTGTCCAGGCTAACATGCTAATCTGCACAGGTGGGAAATGAAGAAAATTACCCAAGGAATGCTCAGAACTTCCGTAGTATCTGAAGTGTCCTCTAGTAGCTTCTGCAATCGTTTCTTCTATCTGGGCAAAATGTCTTTTACATATGATCTGATCACCTGAGATGCCCTTTTAGGATTAATACAATTAGCATGAGCAATCATTTGAGCCCTTGCTACGTACCAGGCAGGTGTCTTAACACATGTGATGTTTGCAACTCTCCTAGTGAGAGAGGTACAACTATTGTATCTTTATTTTACAGGTAAGAGAACTAAACTAGTAGAATCTAATCTCTATGGGAAGTATTTTTATTTAGAAATTGTCTTGTTGAAGTAGTGAGTAAATTGGGTAGATACCAGCAGGCATGAGCAAATGCAGACTGTTCTCAAAAACCCAGGATTAGAGCAGATGCTGACAGGGTAGCAAAGCAGTTTAAACCTGTCTGTTCCGTTTTGGGCAAATTGAATTGGACAGAGCATCCTGGAGTAATTCTCTCTGGAAACGTTAGAGGGCACTCCTCCTCTGGGGGTGGGGGTGGGGCACAGGACCAGACTCTCAAAGGCTCAAACACAGGCAGCCAGATGGGGTGGCGGGGAACAAGCTGCTTTTCAACCAGTCCTCCCACCAGACAATATGTTCCTCAAGAGCATGGACAGGAGCTATCTTCTGCACAGCTGTGTTCCTGTGCCTAGGTCAGTACCAGGCACACACAAGTGCTCCCGAAGGCTACAGGGAGGAAGGAAGGAGAGAGTGAGGGGAGGAACTTCTCTGTTTGAGAAGCCAAACATTTAGATGAAAAATAGTGGAGTAGGGTCTTAGTTTCCTAGGGCAGCTGTAACAAAATACCACAAAGTGGGGGGCTTTAAATAACAGAAATTTATTTTCTCACAGTTGTGGAGGCTAAAAATACAAATCAGTCAGCCATGTTGAGTCTTTCTCAGAGCCATGATGGCTCTGAGGAACTGTTCCGTTCCTTGGCTTACATCTGCCTCCCTTGTCACACATCTATCCTTATAACTCTCCACGTCGATTCTCCTCTGAGACACGACTCAACGGGATTAGGACCCACCCTGCTCTGATATAACCTCATGTTTACTGATAACATCTTCAAAGACCCTGTTTCCACACAGAGTTCCATCCACAGGTACCACGGGTTAGGACTTCAATATATCTTTTTTGGATGACACAAATCAATCCATAGTAGTAGACAACACCCATCTCCAAAAAGCATTCCACAGGCCTTTGTGAGAAGCCTTTCAGCAGCTTCCAAGTTTGAGAGGAGGAGAGTGGAGTTAAGGACAATGGGGACACTACCACTAATCTTTGTGTACCCAGAGACTATATATAGTACACAATCTGACTGCTCTACTGTGCAGATGGGACACAAAGTCATGACTGCTGTGGTCCCAGGAGAGCCTCTCCCCATTCTAAAAGTGCCACCAACATTCTCCTACCTCAGGATCTGTTAACTCACAGCATTTCAGTTCACACACTTCCTCTACCCAATGAGGTGCATGAAATCCTGAGCTTGGGGACAGCACAGCATAGATTTTCCTCTGAGTACTAAGCATTTCTCAGTACTTAGTGCTGACTATCAAACCTCACTACAGTGATTCATCTCAGAGGTCTCACAAATGTCCTAGAAAGTTGGTTAAGATTAAAATTTTTGAAGCCAGTTCAAAGTCATAAAAGCAAATGAGGCTGAATGTACTTCTCTGGGTATTTTATGGGATGGTTCCACAGGATTCTACCTGATAATTTACCTGATAATTGTCATCTCCCTTAATCATGGCCTCTGTTGAAAAGGTCAATTGCATTTTAATGGGAGAGATTTATTGAATGAAATGTGAGATATTCCTAGCTCCAGGCGGAGGAACTGTGTACATAGTGAACAATGCATTGTGCTTATCTCCACATCAGGGCAGAAGTAAATTAGAGATTTTTAAAATCCTAATTATAATTAAAATAATTTCCAATTTTGAGAGATGATTTAGGCTGTGATAGATATCTTGTTTTAAATAAGAGACATGGAACAGGTATTATTCTTCCTCCTTCTGCAGGGCTCAGGGAGGGAACTGAGCCTCAGAGAGGTGAAGACATGTGCACACAGCCAGCGAGAGCCCAACTGGGACTACTTTGCTGCAGAGCCTAAATATCTTCCATTCCCCACACGGCAGAGCTTATCACACACAAAGTGAGGAAGTACTGCATTGTATAGCCCCCTCACTTTTCTTTTACTTCTCTTTACAAACCAAATGAGATATAAAGTTCTGAGGTCTAACTGTGGCTGAGTTCAGAAAAGGGATTTGGTTCTATAGGAGATCTAACATCTTTCTTGTCCCAACATCCTGTTAATTTAGACAATAAAGAACTACTCTATGGATGTAGATGTACTTTGTGAAACCTCAGCCTCCAGGCCATGCAGCCTCCTGGAAAACATCCTTTGATAGGCCCATTATGGTCTCCTAGGAGGGGAGGAGATAGGAGGAGCCCCTCATGACATTGTCACAGAGATTCTGCTAGACTTCCACTCACTTCATAGAGTTCACAAAGAAATTCACTTCTCTGCTTACTGTACTTACACATGTAATATTCCCATGTAAATAATGCACATGCACATATAACATACATAGCCCACCTAGGAAACTAGCACAAGGGGGTTGCATTGTTTGCCAAAAAAAAAAAAAAAGTATAATGTGCACTTTAGTTGTGTTAAAATATGGAACTTGGAAGGAAACTATATCGCCAAACCTGTCATCTTCTGCAAAGAGGTATGTCACCCTAGAAAACAACCTGTGAGCTAAGTTACATCATTGCTATTGAGTAAGATATAAAACTTAAAGACATTGAAAAAAAAAAAAACTGCACAGAAAATCAAAATCACAGTGAGATACCACTCATCTTTCATTTGTTGTCAGAAGTGACCAGTCCCTGGAAAAGGATATCTTGTTGGGTAAAGTAAAGTGTCAGTGAAAAAGGGAAAGACCCTCAGCGAGATGGTTTGACACTGTGACTGTGACAATGGGCTCAAGCGTGGCAAGATTGTGAGGATGGCACAATCTTGTACCTAGTGCTGCTGTTGAGTTGAAAACAATTCAATGGCACCTAAAAACAACAATAATGAAAAAACAAACCACCTCCTGTGGAACCGACTCTGACTCATGGGGAGTAGAACAATGCACCATAGTGTTTTCAACGGCTAATCTTTTGAAGTGTATCACCAGGTCTTTGTTCTGAGGCAATGCTGGGTAGACGTGAACCTACAACCTTTCAGTTAGCAACTGAACATGTTAACCATTTGCACCACCAAGGACTCCTCACTCTACTAGGATGGCTATTAGCAGAAAATGGAAAATAATGAGTGTTGCTAACGTGGAGAAATTGGAATCCTCCTCTATTATTGGTTGTTGCTGTTGTTGTTGTTAAGTGCCGTCGAGTCGGCCCCGACTCATAGCGACCCCTCCTTGGGTTTCTGAGGCAGTTATCACTACGGAAGTAGGATTGCCCAACCTTCCTTCCGAGGAGTGGCTGGTGGGTTTGAACCGCCAGCCGTCTGGTTAGCAGGCAAGTGTCTTAACCACTATGCTACCAGAGCTCCCCTATTATTGGTAGGATTCTAAAATGTAACAACCACTTGGAAAATATTTTGGTAGTTCCTCAAAAAAAAAAAAAAAATCAAACACAGAACTACCATATGACCCAGCAATTTCACTCCTAGGTACATATGCAAAAGAATTGAAAGCAGAAACTCAAAAAGATACATGTCTGCCAATGTTCATTGCAACATCATTCACAATAGCCAAAAGATGGAAACAGCCTAAGCGTTCATGAACAGATGAATGGATAAATAAAATGTGGTATATATATCCAGTGGACTATTACTCAGCCATAAAGATAAATGAAGTTCTGATGCATGCTACAACATAGATGAACCTTGAAAACCTTATGGTGTGTGAAATAAGCCAGACACAAAAAAACAAATATATGAAATATCTAGACTAGGAAATTGGATAGAAACCAAAGTTAATTAGTAATTACTGGAGGCAGGTGGGAGGGGGAAATGTGAGGTATTGCTTAATAAGTACTAAGTTTCTGTTAACCCACTGCCATCAAAAGTTGATTCCAACTCATAGCAACCCTGCAGGACAGAGTAGAATGGCCTCATAGGGTTTCTAAGACTGTAAATCTTTACAGAAGCAGACTGCCTCATCTTTCTCCCATAGAGCAGCTGGTGGGTTGAAACCACTGAAATTTTGTGCTTAGCAGCCAAATGTCTTAACCATTGTGCCACCAGAGCTTCTCTGGTGAGTTTCTGTTAAGGATGAGGAAAAAACTTAGACGGTGGTGATGGTTGCACAACATAGGGAACATATATAATGTCATTGAGTTGTACACGTAAAAATGTTTGAAGTGGCAAATGTTTTGTTATACATATTTAATCAAAATAAAGAAAATTTAAAAAATTGTACAGTTAATTGCATGTTAACTTGGGACAAATTTAAGAGATAAAAGAGTTAGTGTCCCTCACTCTCTTCCTTCTCAAGAGGGAATGGATCATAAACACCACCAAA